TTGACAAACTTTAGTTTCTCCAAGAATGCTTGCATTTTAACAGGTAATTAAAAAAATAAATACTTTTTAAAAATCAAAGAAATAAACTTACAAAGTTAATGACAGATGACACTCTGCTAAATCATATTAGGTATGTGATTACCAACATCTATCCATTTGCCTGCCCTTGCATGAAAAATCAACTAATTCTAAATCTCAGTGAAATCATTCATTCAACTTCCTCACCTATAAAGTGGATTGGAGTCCTGGTGTGGCTCTGTTGGATAAGCATTGAACTGCAAACTGCAAGGTCAGTGGTTCAAACCCACCATTTGCTCCTTGGAAAATTATATACAGGGTCATTATGAATTGGAACTGACTCGAAGGTACTTAACAACAACATAAAATAGATATAATAATATTTGCCTCTCAGGGTTGTTTGTGGTGAGACAAATTTTATAATTGATGTGAAAGTACTTTCTAAATTATAAAGAGTTTACTCACTTTTCCTCTACCTTCCAGCCCTTAATTGGGAATGGTCTGGAAGGCACCCTCCCTGGATGAGAGAAGGTAAGTGGTAATGGGGAGTTTAACACCTGTGAGACTGACCGAAAGGAAGGTTTAACAAGACAGCTTCTAGTGTCCTTCCTGGTCCAAAACCTATAATTATGAAAAAGTACTTAATTATAGGGTATTTCCTATTATGCTCTAGGCACCCGGACTTCTCCAACTGTAAGCTCTTTGAGGTCAGTGATCATTTCTTACAATCTTTATGGATCTTCCATAACATTTAGCATAAGGCCTGGCTGGCTAAAAGATATTAGATCATTCACAGCAGGCTTATTTCTCCACTACCTAAGAGATATTGGAGAAATACCCTAGCCCTGAAGTGTCTCCCTGATACTTATCACACACCTCATCAGTGTCTTTCCTTCACCCCACAGATTTTCTCCATGTTCATGGCATTGTATAATAGAAATAGCAAAAATCTGGAGACAGGTTAGCTCTTAACTAGGTGACTATTCATCTTTTAAATCTTGGTTTCTCCATCTGAAAAATACACACAAAGCCTTCCTTAGTTGTCCCAAGGGTTATTCAAATGGAACTGTGATCCACAGAGTTTTGGGTAGCTAATATTTTGGAATCAGACCCTCAAGTCTTTCAAAGAATCTTTGGTGGCTATTGCTAACGTATCTCTTACTCTACCTCTCGGACCGAGTTGAAGCCTGAGGTAAGCAGTAAGAAACACATTTTCAAGCTATCTTTTTAATTCAAGATGTTGCTCACAGATGGGTGCTATTAAAATTCAAGATCTTCTGGAGGCTTTTTATTTAAAATGCAATTACTTTTGCTAACTATGATGCTGTTGTTGTTGTGTGCCATAGAGTTAGTTCTGACTCAGATCGACCCTGTGTAGGTTTTCCAAGGAGCAGCTGGTGAATCTGAACTTCTGACCTTGTGGTTAGCAGTTTACTACTATCCTACATCCCACACTATGGCTCACCGAAATGATAGGCTTTTTAAAAAATCATTAAAATGTTCTGTGTCCTCTATGGGTTGGAATCGACTTGATAGCACTTAACAACAATAAGGTAAAGTAAAGTATTATAATAAAATGTGTAAAGACTTGGGGTTAGGAAACCAAAAGGGAAGAATATACTCACCATTTTGTTCAAGCTGAAAGAACTGAGGAAAACATCCAAGCATTGAGTTGTAATATTGAAGAATTTGATGCACAAAATATTGAACAATGCTGGAAGCATTTCAAGAAGATGAAAGAAATATACAGAATCACTGTAACAAATAGAACTGTTCAACGTTCAACCATCTCAGCATATGATCAAGAACTGATGATACTGAAGGAAGAAGTCCAAATTTCAGTGAAGAAATTGGCATAAAACAAGGCTAGAGAAACGGATGGACTACCAATTGAGATGCTTCAGTAAATGGATGCAATGTTGGAAACATTCATTCGTGTATACTAAGAAATTGAAAACAACTACCTTCATAATCACTAGGCTACCAGAGCTCCTTAAAAGTAGCGTAGTGGTTACGAATCGGGCTGTGAACCACAAGGTCAGGAGTTTGAAACTACCAGCTGCTCTGTGGGAGAAAGATGAGGCTTTCTGCTCCTGTAAAGATTCACAGCCTCGGAAACCCTGTTCAGGGTCGCTATGGGACGGCACTCAACAACAACAACATATGCATGTAAAAGCTGAACAATGAATGAGGTAGACTAAAGAAGAATTGATGACTGTGAATTACAATGTTGATGAAAAATATTGAATATACCATGGACTGCCAGACAGATGAGCAAATATGACTTGAAAGAACAGCCAGAACGTTCCTCAGAAGTGAGGATGGCAAGACTTCCTCTCATGTACTTAGTTTTATATAAGTTTGCAGAGTTCTGGTGTAGTGCTGTGGGATAAGGACTGGACCCAAAGGTTTGAACCATAGAGTCGGCAGTTTGAACTCACCAGTCATTATTTGGAAACCCTATATGGGGTCGCTATGAGTCGAAACCGACTCGACAGCACTTAACAACAACAGTATATATACATGTATTAACTTCTCATTGTGAGTTGAGTGAAGGTTTACAGAAAAGATCATCAATTTTACATTCAACAAATCATACACTTTGTTTCATCTCAGTGATTGCAGCCCCTCCATGTAACAACAGTTGCCCGCTTCCTCCCTGGGCTTCCTATTTCCACTCCACCCTCCTTCCCATCCCTTCTCAACTTTGTCCTTAAGTAAATATTGCCCTTTTGATTTTAAATGATTGACCATTCTCTGGTGAGCATACCTTTCTAGTGTTTTTGTCTGCCCTATACACCTATGGTAGTGTAGTGGTTACGAGTCAGGCTGCCAACCTCAGGGTCAGCAGTTCGAAAATACCAGCTGTTCAGTGGGAGAAAGATGAGGCGTTCTGCTCCCGTAAAGATTTACAGCCTCCGAAACTCTGTGCAGGGTCAGTATGAGTCAGAACTGACTCCATGGTACTTAACAACAACAACAATACACCTATCCATGGAATCTTTGTGTGGTTCTGTAGGATAAGTTTGGACCTCAAGGTCAATTTGAACCACAAAGTTCGTGGTTCAAATCCACCAGCTGCTCCTTGGAAACCCTATACAAGGTCATACAAGTTGGAAGTAACTCAACAGCCCTTAATAACAACAACATACACCTATTTACTACTTGGTTAATAATTGGACCATGAGAGTGAGTTTCTTTCTAGACCTGATGTGTGGCCAATGACCATAGTCTTGGGTTCGTTCCTCCAGTCTTTCTGACCAGTAAGCCCAGTGTTGGTTTTTTTTTTTTACAATTTTGAGTTTTGCTTCATATTTTCTCCCACTCTATCTGGGACCTTCTAATATGATCCTTTTCAGAACAGTTGGTAGCTGGGTACCATCTAGTCCTTCTGGTCTCAGAATCGTGTGACTGACAGTCACCTGCTCCATTCATCACTGTTGGAACTGACTCAGCAGTACTTAACAAGTGTTTTAAATGTTTGTACCACCTAGGAATTCCTGGTATGTATTATTGACTTAAGGGGTCCTACTGAATTTCAGGTGTGGTGCTGTAGGATCAGCAATGGGCTGTGGACCACAAGGTCATTGGTTCAAACCCACCAGCAGCTCGTTGGAAACCCTATACAAGGTCACCATGAACTGACACCAACTTGATAGTACTTACCAACAACAACAACTCGGATACAATGGTTAGAGGGATCAGCTGCTTTTGGTTAGAAGCTTTGGTTAGGTCAAGGGTTCAAACTCATCAGCAACCCCACAGGAGAAAGGTGTGGCAGTCTACATTCATCAGAACTAAGGAAACCGTATGGGACAATTCTCTGTCCAATAAGGTTGCCATTAGTTGAAATTGACTCAGCAAAAAATGGTTTTTCTTTTCTTCTCTGTTTTTGATTATTGATGCAGTATTAACTTCTATAAGAAAAACAGACTTCAAGGTTTTTTGTTTGATTGCTTGTTTTGTTTTTAAAAAAGAAATTTGGAAAGGGAAATATTTAGTTCTAAAGAATGAGTATCTGGCCCTTTAGAAAGCTTTCCAGAGCCCTTCAATGCAGAGGGTCACTTCTTTTCCACTTACCCAAGAAGCTGACCTTATTGGCAAACTGCCATTGAATGAAGTTTCAGAGGGAGAAAACAAAACAAAACAAAAACAGAAGGAATGATACAATAATATAAGGCAACCAATTACTAACCCTAATGAGTAATTTATATTTTCTTTTCAGATTGTATAAGTTTTGATATTTCGTGATTTGTTTGGAGTCCTGGGATAGAGCTGTAAGACATGTACTGGACTATTAACCACAAGGTTTATAGTTCAAACCCAGCAGTTGCTCCCTGGAAACCCTATACAGGGTCACTATGAGTCAGAACGAACTCAATGGCACTTAACAAAAACAACAAATGATTTGTTTATAACTAATCAAACAACACCACGACTAATGTATCAACTTATCAAAAAACATTGAGCATGCAACTTCTCTACTAGTTTTGTCTCCTCTAAAAGATGAAAACACTATTTAGGCTAATTAGCAGAAAATTCATTCTCCAAACTGTTTATAAAAAATCTACCTCCAGTGCATTTGAAATCTAATTAAAAACTTTTAACAGTCTTAGACTTTAATTACATGCTGGCATCACTTGGTGAGGTTAGAAACGTTTTGTAGAAGTTGAATTAGTAATTCTAGAACCACACATCATAAAGGTTGCAAGAGCTTTAAAGATGATCCAATACAAATGCCTCCTTTACAAATGGGGAAAAAGAGGCTCAGAAAAGGGATGTGCTATGCTCTCTGACACTGTTGGAGTTATCAGAGGCTTCATCTGAGAAGCTCAAGGGGGCATTTTTAGTTGTAAGGAAGCTTGAACAAACCCACACATTCTCCAAGACTCTACTTTTCATGTTTACTCACACACTGACCATGCGTCCAATGCAAGCACCAAGATTTGGTATCCAACTTTTGCATAGAATGCATAACTCACCTCATCAACCATCTTCTGGATTTCTGGAGTGGCCGGTTTAGCTTCTGTTAAGCCTCCAGGAATCATTTTGTCTAATTGCTTCTTGACACAGCAGGATGCTAGAACTGAATGACCAGGTAGGTGCGGAGATCTGTTTTTAAAGGTGTTCACAAGCTCCGCCTATGGGGTGTTTTATTCTCCACAAAGAGCAAAACAGCACCTGGAAAATATGTATGACTTAAGATATATCTTCTTGAATCCTCAACAAAATGTGCTGATAGGAATTTGGATGAAAGGGAATAACCAAATGGGTGTGTACAGGTGTCACACTGTAACAAGAACTCACCTCCCTGCATTCTTTCTGACAGTGGTTCAGTCCTCTGAGTCTGAGTATGGAATCTGAAACTACAACCAGAGTTTCTGTGGTCTTTAAAATCTCTGACCCAAAACTTTATTTTAAAAATGAATGCCTATTAATTGTATCGACGGTGAATGTTAGGATTTGCTTGACTTTCTAAAGAAAGTAGAAGGATCTGTCTAGAGAACCTTGTCTAGCTATTTGCACTGTCAAAGGGCAAACTGGAATCTCTGCTACAATGAAGCAAAGGATTTTTATTGAGGAATTTAAAAGTAATTCACAAACTGGGAAATCAGAGTTGAGGAGGGTCTCAACACAGTGTTCTATCTTTACTGAGTTATGTTGTTGGTGTGAAGTGCCATTGAGTCGGTTCCAACCCATAGCGACCCTATATAGGGTTTCCAAGGAGCAGTTGGTGAGCTTGAACCAACGATCTTGCAGTTCAAACGGCTTTGCAGTCTGGCGCATGAACCAACAGCGCCACACCAGAGGTTTTTATACAAAGAGAAACAAAGAGAAAGTAGGGGGTTAATGACTGCAGATTAAATCAGCTTCAGTTTCAAGTCCTTCAAGATGTAAAGGTTGGCCATCTTGTTAGGGGGCAATGAATCACCTGGTTTAGTTATTCTTGATAGTGGAATAGTATATACACTGATGTGACACTGAGGGTTAATGTGTTGGACTGCAAGGTCAGTTGGAGCCACAAGGTTGGCAGTTCAAGCTCACTAGCTGCTTCTTAGAAACCCTATGCAGGGTCGCTATGGGTCAGAAACGACTAAGGGCATTGAACAACAACAACATATACACTGGTGTGGTACCGTAGGATAAGCACTCGACCTCAAGGTCAGTTTAAACTGCTAGGTCGGTAGTTCAAACTCACTAGTCACTCCTCAGAAACCCTATACAGGGTTGCTAATTCAGAACCAACTCAATGGCACACAGCAGTAGCAACAACAACAAATATACACTGGGGACTCCTGGTGTGGCACTGTAGGATCAGCACAAGGTTGGCAATCCAAACCTACTAGCTGCTCCTTTGAGACCCTATACAGGGTTGCTATGAGTTGGAAGTGACTTGATGGCACCTCACAACAACATATACACTGGAGTGCTAACCATGATGTTGGTGGTTCACATCCACTAGCCACTCCTTGGAAACCCTATACAGGGCTCGCTATGAGTCAGAACTGACACAATGGCATTTAATAACAACATTTACTAACCAGAGCTTTGGCGGTGCAGTGGTTAAGAGCTCGACTGCTAACTGAAAGGTCAGTGGTTCAAAATTACCATCCATTGGAGGGGAAAGATGAGGCAGTTTGCTTCAGTAAAGATTACAAGCTTGGAAACTCTATCCCACAGGGATATGATGAATTGAAATAGACCGCCGGGCAGTGTGCTTGGGTTATTCAGTTATCAGGTAGACCAGTCCCTGGAAGAAGACATCATGCTTGGAAAAGTAGCAAGTTGGTGAGAAAGGGGAAGACCTTCAATGAGATGGACTTATATGAATGTAGCAAAGAGCTCAAACACAGCAACGATTTTGAGGACGATGAAGGACAAGGCAGTGTTTTGTTCTGTTGAAAGTGGAGTCTCCATGAATGGGAACCAACTCAAGGACAACAACCTTCATGATTGTAATGGGTCAGGGATCAAACTGTTCACATATTCTTCTTGAATGGTTAGTTATAAACATATTCTTCTCTGGAACAATTGTTTACATCTTGATATATGCTTTGTAAATGAACCTTGGAAACCCTATGAGTTGTCACTGACTCGATGGCATTTAATAACAGCAATGACAATAATGTATACCTAGACTCTTTGCTGCTAACAATATATTTTGAAGATTATTCTATAGCAGTACATAGAGAAGTGCTTCATTCTTCATAATGGTGTTTGGCAGGGCTTGACAAATCCTTAGAAATGGAGAAACTGTTTTAGTGGATAATCCAAGAGGTGCTGTGCAGGTGACCATCCATGGAATGTCCTCACTCCATGTGCTGACAAGAACTTTACTCACCTCCAAATCCAGATGATCTTCTTCTAATCTCCCCGCTGGTAGGGTCAATAGTATGTTTTCAACTTTCTTGCTAGGGAGGATAAAGGAGATCTGGTAACATAGTGGGTTTCTAGTTGGGTTAGTAACTGTAAGCTCACCTATACTGGGTCTCTATCAGTTGGAATCAACTCCACGGCACACAGTCACCAACACTAGGGATTATGTGCTCTTGGAAGTGCCAAACTGGTTAAGCGGTCTAATGACTGAAAGTGGTTGGAAGCTCAAATCCACCCAGGGGTGTCATGAAAACCTAGTAGAACACAGGTCTATCACTGACACGCATGAAACTGCCATGAGTCAAGAATTCACTCAAGAGCAAATTTTATTATTTTTTTATGCATTGTTATCTCATATTTTTCTCCTTGGGTTTCAATAATTTATTTTATAAATAAAACTCTCCCCAAGCAAATGTTGCTTTTGTCTTTCCATTCTTACTGTAATAACCCTAGTTCTTCTCAAGATATTATGACCCGACAGGGGAAGAATCACATACAAAGAAGTGCAGAAAAGAAAAGCACAGAAGTATCTGGTTTCACAAACATTCCAATATTAGTTAATTAAGCACTCAATTTATTATATATACATTTAGTTTTAAAGCACTTGATATAGACCATCAATATTGCTCTGTTGCTTGCCAGTCTTCAGGTACCAATTATTTTGTGGCCAGAATATCTTTGTGCAATTGAACATCCCCATATGTTTTATATTTCCTGTTTGAGAGCTTATCTTCTACAGGAACTATCTTTTTTTTTTTTTTTTTCAAATCGTTTATTGTGAATCATGTGATAGTTTACATGGGAGAACATTAGTTTTACATTCATTCTATCGTATATCATCTCATTGTCAT